AGGAGCAGCAGAAGCTAAGCTCTCACATTATCACAAAGACACAGGAAGCAAGAGAGCAACTGGAGATCTGGCAAGGCTTAGGAACTCTATAAGCCCACCCCCAGTGATGTGCTTCCTCCAGAATAGCCACACTTTCTAAAACCTCCCCAAAACAGTGCCACCATGTGGGGACAAAATGTCCAAATACTTGGAGCCTATGGGGGACATTCCACTCATTGGCCCCCATAGGCTCATGACCATATAAAATGCAAAATGCATTTAGTCCACCTTTAAAAGTCCCCATAGTCATTATCAATCTCACTACTATTCCAAAGTCCACAGTCCAAAGTCTCTTCTGAGACTCAGGTAAATATCTTAACTTTAAGCCTCTATAAAATCAAAAGACAAATTACATACTCCCAACATCCAGTTGAACCGAGTACACATTACCATTCCAAAAGGGAGGAATGGAGGCATAGTAAAGAAATATTGGACTGAAACCAGACCAAAAACCAGCAGGGCAAACACCAAATCCAGTAGCTCCACATCCAATTTCTGGCACTTTACTTCCAAAGGGCTTAGATGGCTCAGCCTCTCTAGCTTTGCTATGTGCAACACACATCTCTCTCTTGTGCTGGTACCACTCCCTGTATGCAGGTCTTCTTGGCAGATGCCTCACACCTCTGGCATCACGAACTTTTTGGAGTCTGCACTGCCAAACAGGCTTCACCTTCATAGCTTTGTGCAATGGCCCATTAGGGCCTTCTCTAGGCAGAGGCACCCCTGCTGCATGCTGCCTGGCCTCAGCGGCTCTCTGAAACCATGGAGGAAGAACTGATGACCCTTCACTCTTGCATCTTTCATGCCTCTAAAGCCAGCACCGGGTGAACGACACTGCCAAGTTTGACTTCAAGTTTGGGATGGACTCCAGCCTGTTTTATCCATTTTAGAAGCTCGTCTCTTCAGTGGTCCTTGCAGCATTTTCCTTTCACAAGATGGAGGCTTAACTGGGTATGGTCTTGCCCTGGAGGCACTCTCTCCACTGTTTAAGTCTGAATCTCTAGGCCCCTCCTTAATCACTTTAATCTCTTTAATCACTTTAAGCTCCTTATCAATGGGATCCTCTCCATCACGTGCCAAGGCTCCAACATTTATCTTCCTAGTGCTCTTTTATAATCCAAATTGTATTTCTTTCTGCCCCATTTGCTTTTTCACTGTAGAGCTGCATAATATTCACCATTAATAGCCACACCACCATTTCTACATTAGGCTGCCTTGAAATTTTTTCCACCAGAGAAATTAGTCTATTGCTTTTCAACTTAGCCTCAGACAAGCTTTTAGGTCAAGGGCAGACTCCAGCCAGACTCTTTGCCAATATATTCCAAGTGCTGCTTAAGTCCTTATTTCCCTCTGGAACTACATTGTTCTCAGCACTACTTTCTTCCAGGTGTTTACTAGAATGGCCTGTTAATGGCTTTTCTAGTCTAAACTTCCAGAGTCTTCCACATTCCTCCAAAACCCCACATAGTCAGGTTCTTCATAGCCAACAGCCCACTCTCTGGTACCAATTACTGTATTAGTCACTTTTCCGTTGCTGTGATAGAAACATTGACCAAAGCAATTTATAGAAGGAAGAATTTATTTGAGCTTACAGTTCCTGGGGAATTATAGTCCATCATGGCAGGAAGGCACAGTGGTTGGAGGTGGCTGGAGCAGGAGCAGCAGAAGCTAAGCTCTCACAACATCACACAGGCACAGGAAGCAAGAGAGCAACTGGAGATCTGGCAAGGCTTAAGAACTCTCTAAGCCCACTCCCAATGATGTGCTTCCTCCAGGACAGCCACACCTTCTAAGACCTCCCAAAACAGCACCATCATCTGGGGACAAAATGTCCAAACACTTGGAGCCTATGGGGGACATTTTCATTCAAACCATCACAGACACCCTGTCTCAAAAAGATAAAAAATAATAATAAAATAACAAGTTTCTGGTTTCTACAATGAGTGTTTAAGAAAATTTTGCCAATGTTTGGAAATATTTTACAGATCTTTTTGACTATCTTCCTCTCACTGCCTTAGTGGATAGGTAGACCTTCTGTCTACATGGTGGTCCTTCACATCTGTAGACATACCAGATCACATCAGAGCACTTGATCACCTACAAGAAGTGCCTCATGAGGGTCCAGTATGCGACTTACTGTGTTCAGATCCAGAGGACCTCAGCAATTCGAGTGTATCTCCTAGAGGAACTGTTACACCTTTGGCCAAGACATTTCTAAAACATTTAATCATGCCAGTGACCTCAGTGTCCAAAGTTTATCAGTTGGTGATGCAGGGATATAACTAGGGCCTTGACTGGAATGTAGTAACAATTTTCAGTGCTCCAAACTATTGCTATCATTGTGGTAACCAAGCAGCAATAGTGGAACTTAATGATACTCTAAAATATTTTCTTGACATCTGATCTAGCACCTCATAAAGGTAAGCTACATGTTACTCATCATTCCCCAGACTACTTCCTGTAATGAAAATGTAAACTTGTACAGTATTGTCATAACCTAAAGGAAATGAGAAGAGTAGCAGTAACTCCAGAGTGTCAACTAATAGTTAACATTCAAAAAACTTGCTTTCACATAGAACAAGAGATGTGTCATATAGAAATTCAAGGCCTCTTGTCATCAACAGCTATGACCACTTTAGAAACAGTTTATTGCATACTCAAGGGACATTGCTGATCAAGAAACCAGTCTCTGACATAGTGCTATTTGTAGTTACTTTTGCTTTCTCTGAGAGATTATAAATAGTAAGATGTAAACATTAACACCTTGTGAGTTCAATATAACTTCCCATTTAGTTATAACTTTACTCAGCATGACTATAAGGATAGTAGCAAATAATCTTAATGAACATTTTCTTGAATAACTAAGGCCTCCTACTTATTTTCAGAGATACCATTTAATTTAATTGTATGATTTGTCTGCACTCAGTTTATCCCCTTCTCAAATCTCTGCCCCATGTTCTTCATTATTGTCAGAAAACTTGTTGCGATGTTTTGAAGAACTGTTTCCTGTCTTGTAAAATAATGTTATTGCACAAGAGGACTATAGTGTTTTTCATAACTTGTGAACTAAGAAAAAAATAAAGATAAAGACTAATAGATTTTTCTTTTGTGCTTTGTTTTGTTTGAGACATAGCCTACTAGACTGGCCTCCAACTCACAACGATTCTCCTGCCTCAACCTCTGAATGCTAGAATTACAGATGTATACCACCATGCCCAGCAATTAATTTGCATTTATATAAAATTATATAACATAGATAGGTAGTGGTAATCCTTAAAAATCTTCCAGACCTGAGCACTTTGAAATATTAATATGCAACTGGACTCTAATTTTTAGAAATGTTTTAAAGGAAATGAGTTAAAGGAAAACCAAACCAAGGGCTTACAATTGCCTTCTGTTAATAAATGTTCTTTAGGGCTGGAGAGATGGTTCAGTGGTTTAGAGCACTGGCTGCTCTTGCAGAGGACCCAGGTTCGAGTCCTGGCACCCACATAGCAGCTAACAACTGTCCATAATTCCGGTTCCACAGGAATCTGACGCCCTCTTCTGACCTCCACGGGCACTGCACAACATAGGTATATTTACCTACATGTAGGCAATACACTCATACACATAAAATGAAAATAATAAATAAATGGAAAGAGAGTCCTACAAGCTCCTGGGACCTTGCTTATATGAATCTACAGCAATGGTGTCACGTACACAAGTCCCATGCAAACTCAAGTAGACAAAAACCCAGCATAGAACTGGGGAAATGGACAGCAGACCCCAATCTTACCTGAAGAAATACTGGCAACTGATTACTGCTAGGTAAGAAAGAGCTGATCTTCCTAAAGTAGATAAGCTGACTCTAGATAAGCTGACTAGGCCTCAGTAGATGAACTTACAACTGAGGAACTTCTGGGGACACTAACTTGACACAATAAGCCTTCCTTAACACAAATGACAGAATGTATGAATTCTAGTGGGGGGGGCTATGGGAGGGTGCCAGTGGGGACCAGGGTATAAAGATGACTAAGAGTTATTGAGATGCTCTGTATGAAGTACACAAAAATTCAATAAAAACAAATTTTTTAAAAAGTTACCTATTAACTGTATCAGTCCTATACTGAACAAAGGAGTATTTAATAAAGTTCAGTGTGTTTAAATAATAATAATAAATAAAATATTTAAAAATAAGTAAATGTTCTTTAAGATAGGAATGGTAATGCTCCCCTGTATTTCCAGCACTTGGGAGGCTGAGGCAGAAGAATTGCTGGAGGTTTGAGGCTAGCCAGGGGCTACATAGTGACTTCCAGGCCAGCTTGAGCTACAATATAACAAAACAAAACTCTTTAAAATAAAAACTCTTGGGACTGGAGAGATGGCTCAGCGGTTAAGCGCACTGACTACTCTTGCAGAGGACCTGGATTCGATTCCCAGCACCCACATGGCAGCTACGAACTGTCCTTAACTCCAGTTCCAGGGGAATCCGAAGCCCTCTTCTGACCTCCGTGGCATTGCAAAACATGCGTGCATTCACATACATGCAGCCAATACATTCATACACATAAAATAAAAATAATAAATTAAAAAAAATTTAAATAAAAACTCTTAGCCGGGCGTGGTGGCGCACACCTTTAATCCCAGCACTTGGGAGGCAGAGGCAGATGGATCTTTGTGAGCTCGAGGCCGGCCTGGTCTACATAGGGAGTTCTAGTACAGCTGGGGCTACAGGGAGATGCTGTCTCAAAAAGACAAAAAAAAAAAAAAAAAAAAAAAAACTCTAAAAATAGCTGGAGTCCAGCTCTGCTGGTGGCCCATGCCTTTAATCTGAGCTCTTGGGAGGCAGAGCCAGGAGGATCTCTGTGAGTTCAAGGCCAGTCTAGTCTACATAGTGAGTTCCAGGCCAGCTGCAGCTCCCAGGAGATCCTGTCTCAAAAAGATGAAAAAAAATGGGAGAAAAAAAAAAATCTGACATCATGCTCACTTCAGCAGCACTGATACTAAAATTGGAGTGACACAGAGATTAGCATGGCCCCTGCACAAGGATGACACACAAATTCGTGAAGCATTCCATATTTTATATGCATTTTCATCACCACTCAATATGATTAACCAGTTGTACCCAAACAGTTCACTAGAAAGTTCATGGCTTCCAGCCTCAAATGTAAAAACATTTCTTATCATCAAAGAATCTGGTCATTTGTCTGCAAGTTAAAGCTTCAACAATTTATACCTAATGACTGTAAACAAAAGTTATGAATATCAAATAGAGCCTTACCTTACCACTTCACACTTACTAGGTGTTAAGGTTCAGATAGCCCTGCCCCCTCAAGGACTTCTCATGCTCCTGAGAAAAGGGAACCTAGCTGATAAGCACCCTGGTCTTTGAAGTCAAGAGAAGCAGACTTTTCTCTACTTTTTGGCCAACACAGCAAGCTTCCCCTTTGATCTCTAAAGAGAACAGGTTTTAATAGTCCCTGTCCCTGTCCCCATGTCCAGTCCCATCCAGTGTCCTCTGTGTGTGTGTGTGTGTGTGTGTGTGTGTGTGTGTGTGTGTCTCCTGCCAACTTTAAAAAAAAATAAAAAGACCCCAGCTCACCCGGGTAGACACTTTCCCTGTCCAGAAGGGAATCTGTCCCATGTGTTCCTTTCCTAATAAACTCTGCTTTCTCCTGATTAACCCTATTCGTCATATGGTTACTTTTTATCTATCACCAGGATGGTTTTAATTTTAAAAGACAGATAACAAGAGTTGGTGAGGATACGAAGAAATTAGAATTTTCACACACTTGCTGGTGGGAATATAAAAGGTTGTGGCCATTTAGTAAAAGGTTAAACACAGAGTGACTATTTGACCCAACAATTCTACTCCCATGTATAGCCTAAAGGAAATGAAAATGTATGTCCATATAATAATTTATATATAAACATTCATAATATTATTAATAAAAGCCAGAGTGGAAAAAAAAATCCAAATTTCTAAATGAATAAGTAAAATGTAATATAGCCATACAACAGAATATTTGATAATAAGAAGAAATAAACTATAGACACATTGCTATTAAGCCCTGAAAGCATTATGCTAACCTAAATAAAGCAATCACATCATATAATTCTATTATTTTAAGTGTCCAGAATTGATAGGCAAATCCATAGAGGCAGAAAGTACATTATTAGTATTTTCCCAGGGATGGGGGATTAGGAAAATAAGGATTGCTAATAAGACACCAGTTTGAAGTGATGAAAATGTTCTAAAATTAGGTAGTGGTAATGTTTACACATCTTTGTGACTATAGTAAAAGCCATTGAATTTTATACTTTAAATGTGTCAAATATATGTATGTGAATTATATTTCAATAAATAAGACTATAAAAAGATTCTAACCTGATATTCTAAACTTAATTGAAATATATGTGCTCTTCATTTATATTTTATTTTTGTTTTCTATTTTTAAACCTATGTGTCTGTGTGAATGTATGCCACTTGTATGCTGGTGCCCACAGAGGTCAGAAGAGGTGTCTGATCCCCTGGAACTGGAGTTATACCCAACAGAAGTGCTGGGGCCTGAACTCCGGTCCCTCTAGAAGAACAGCAAGGCTCTTAACTGCTAAGCCATCTTACCAACCCTCATTTCATATTTTAAAATCTCTCTAAACTAATGTTGTTTGGGGCTGCCAGAAGTCAGAATTGAGTAAAGCTCCAAATTTCCCTAATTAAATGAAAAACTCTAGGCTCATATTATTATTTCTATAGGTCTTATTCCTAAAGCTCCTTTAAAAAAAAAATTACCATTTACATTTCATTTTTTAAAATCTAGGGCACAGATTTACTACTTCTAGATTGTTTTGTTTTGTTGTTTGCAGTGCTGGAAGCTGAATTTAAGGACCTCACATATGCTAGGCAAGTGCTTTACCACTGAGCTATATTCTCAGTACTCATTTTTTGTTGTTGCTATTGTTGTTTTTTTATAGAGAAAAATCTCCCTAATTATCCCAGGCTAGCCTCAAACTCACTAAGTAGCTGGGCTCTTCTCACACTCACAATGATCCTCTTGCCTTAGGCATGCCAGTGCTGGGATTACATGTATGTAACCACCAGTGCTGGGATTACATGTATGTGACCACCAGACCCGGCTTCCCTACTACTACTACTTTCCTTTTATAAATATAACGAAATTACCACCATAAAAATTTTGCAACAATCTTAAAGATATATTATCATAACAAAAAAGGAAAAAAGTAAAATCACTACAGACTACAGAATTATCAATTTAAACTAGTATGCCAAGGGGCTGGAGAGATATCTCAGAAGTTAAGAGCACCCACATGGCAGCTAACAGCTGTCCCTAAAGTCAGTTCCAGGAGATCCAATGCCCTCTTCTGGCCTCTGCTGGCACTGAATGACACTGGTGCACATACATGTAGCAAAACTCTCATATACATAAAATAAAAATCTAAAACTAAAATATTATACCCAAAGGTCTACAGCAGCAAAAGCATTAATTTTAAATAAATATTTTTTCATTACTTATTTGGGGGCTGGAGAGATGGCTCAGCAATTAAGAGCACTGGCTGCTCTTGCAGAAGGGGGTTCGAATCCCAGCACCCACATGGCAGCTAACACCCTAACTCCAGTTCCAAGGGATCCTATGTCCTTTTCTGTCCTCCGAGTACACTGCAGGGCATGGGTGCACTTACACACATTCAGGCATAACACTCATACACATAAAAAAAAAATCAAAAAATAAATAACTAAATATTTACTTATTTTGTGTGTATGAATCCCTTGCCTACACATATATAAGTGCACCACACGTGTGTCTGGTACCCTCGGAGTGTTTGAGACCTCTGTTATGCAAAGTAGAAGTCCCTTCACGACCGGACAGCTCATGCAGCTCGGGATCATGTGCTGAGGGCTCCTTTCATAGCAGGGTGTCTTCCTGGCATCTTTCCTGTCTCTCCTTTTGAAGTGTCCGCCACAAATGCCATATCATAAACATGGCCTTTGGCTCTGAAAGGTACCATGCCTTCCTGTAATTTCTCCAGGCAGACAGCAGTCTGGCAGAAACCCACTTCCATATGTAAATAGAATGCCTCACAAAACATCTAACAGCCAAAGCTTTTACCACTACCCCCATGGTATAAGTATCCTAGCTTTCTCTTAATACACAGAGAGCTAGGTCGCAGAGATCTAGGTCGCAGAGAGCTAGGTCGCAGAGAGCTAGGTCGCAGAAAGCTGTGACACAGAGAGCTGGGTCACAGAGCTGCTGAATTACTGAGAGCAGAGACACTTAATAAATCTGTAACACAGACTAAGCCAAGTCTTGAGTCCTGTGCCTTACTACCTGCAACCTAGCCTCTCCGGGGGGCAGCACTCCCTCGTGACCAACTTATGGACATCCTAGCTTTCGCTGTCCCCGTACTTCTCCCGCGAGGCCCAGGTGGCCAGTGGACCTCACATCCTGAGGAAAAGTACACGGGTGGAATAGGGACGGGATTTCGGCAGGACAACACTCCTGCAGCAGAGAAGCTCCCAGAGACACAGGACCCGAGCTGCCGGGAAAAGCCTGCGGAGCACCCGCCGCCGCGGCCAGAGACGCCTGTGGCCAGACCGGCCAGCGACTAGCCAGGTGTGGCGGGGGGGGGGCCTTCCAGGACAACGCTTCTGCAGCAGAGAAGCTTCCAGAGACATGGGACCCGAGCCGCCAGGAAAAGCCTGCGGGGCACCCGCCGCCGCGGCCAGAGACGCCTGTGGCCAGACCCGCCAGCGACTAGCCAGGTGTGGCAGGGACCCCGAGATCCAGGGGCCCAGAGTGACCCCGAGATACCCGCGCATACCACGCCTGAGGCCCATAGAGACACAGAGAAGCCCGCGGGACCAGCCCAGCTTTCCTCCAGACGCACGGCAGGGGAGTGCCATTCTGGGAGTGCACCCAGAGAGTGCATGCACCGGCGGGGGAGCCTACGGATCCGCCGTGCCATTCCAAGAGTGCGCCCAGAGAGTGCGCACGCCCCATATCTGGCGCCCAACGTGGGGCCCTCTGAACAACGTGGAGCTTAGCCTCTGAACCTCGTGCCAGCTAGGAGCTGGTGCCCACAGAAACACTAGAATCCGTGAGTATCCCTCCCACTCAGGAGGGTAATCTAATCTCTTCCTCTCTTCTAAATTTCCTCCTTTTCTTTTCCGGTCTAGAAGTACTCGCGAGGGACCGCTAGGGCCAGAGAGACAACTGAGGTTTCCTGGCAAGGGCTACCCCCTGGTGTTAACTGAAGGTCTCTCTGACCCCCAAGGGGACCCTGACTACCTATACAGGTGTGGACAAAGACCTCTATCTAGACATCTCTTTAATATCAAACCTGGTGATGCATCGGCCAAATAAGAACCATTAGGGGTGGCCACCAGCCTCTCAAATTTGTGGGCAGGTCTTGTGACTGGGAGCCACTGTGATCCCCTGAAATTTTTATTTCAGGAACGTCACTTTGGAAACCGTCACTTCTCAACTTTTCTATCTGAACACTGTTAGAGAAAAATCCCCAAAGATTCCAGGGATCTCCACCAAAGCTTTGAAGTCAGGCAGAATTCCTCTAGCCAGCTCTGTCTCCCTACCCGCAAACATTCAAGCAACAGGAAAAAGCCAGTTCAGTAAAAATTCAAATTAGCTAACCCCTGCCGAGCGCCCGCAGCCAAAAGAGCTCTCAGACAAAAAATTTAAAGTGACACATTTTTCCTCTGCAGTCTCAGCCAAGGCGCTTCTGCCCTCTAGTGTCCGACTGCTGTAAAAACATCTAAAAAAACAACAAAAAAAAATGTGGAGCTTTCTTTCACATTTGGCATATAAGAAAGAAGCCCAAGAAAAGCATGATTTTCCTCTTTCCTTTTTCCCAATAATGGCAGCCATCCAGCAGTGCTTAAAAAACCCACCTAAAATTGAAGAAAGTTTACAGGCACCAGAGAATAATAAAAGAGAGGTTTTAGATGATAAAAAAGACCCTAAAAACAGCCTAGTAGCAGATTCAACAACTTCAAAAATAAAACCGGACCAAGCCAAACAAAATCCACCCATCAGTAAAATTGATCCT